CCAGAGGGGAACAGTTGGTTTGTATTCAGGCTTCATGCAGTTGTAAATCTCTGGGCTTGAAAGTTTCTCTTTATGATCCAGATGGGCACAGCAAACTACCACCTACTCAGCTTGATTATTCGCCCTTTCAGCCAGGCATAGCGCTGGAAACTTGTAAAGGAAAACTTGAATGTTGAAGTTTCTAGCCAGAATTTACCAAATTGCACAAAAGAATTTTCACCCTTTGCTTGGGTTTATAGGGACGCATAGCTAAGCTGATTGTCTTCTGTCACGGTTTTTAGGTCACATAGAATGGACAGATGCCAGGATTACACTTCCTTCCTGCCTAAAGCTGAATGTAACAGAATTTTAAAATCAGAAACACAAAATTTAAGGGCTTAAGCACAAAGTATTTTTTTAAAAGATCTGTTATTTATCTAAATATTAATGAACCGTACAGTATACTGTATATTGACAAACAGTGATTGGCTTCAGTAATGCTAAATAATGTCATGCACATGGGTATTTTAACATCTACTTTGCTATATCTGCAACCAAAAGGATTAGATGCAACTTTTATTCACTCTGTACTTGTTTACGATGTCCCCTAAGGGAAAGGCAAGTCCAGAGAGGCAACAGAGGAATGACAGAAGTCCCAGGGGTTTATACAGTATTGAGAGCTCCTGGAGCAAGAGCAGACTATAGTCATGATAAGTAAAAGTATAGATAGCAGCTTAGACCTTACCAGAATTAAAAATACCTGCTGTGTACATACAATCACCAGCCACTTTACTATGTACACCTTGCTAGTGCAAAGAAAATATCTCCAACACCATTACACCACCACCACCCAGCCTGAACCGTTGATACAAGCCAGGATTGCTCCATGCTAGATCAGCAGTTTTTGAAATACTCAGATCAGCCCGTCTGGCACCAACAACCATGTCACTTTCAAAGTCACTTAAATCCCCTTTATTCCCCATTCTAATGCTCAGTTTGCACTTCATCAAGTTGACTTCACCACGTCTAGATGGCTAAATGCATTGAGTTGCTGCCATATGATTGGCTGATTAGCAATTTGTGTTGCCAAACAATTGAACAGGTGTACCTAATAAAGTGGCCGGTGAGTGTATGTCCCTATTCAAGAGTAGACATGTGCGCACCAGAAATGTCTGTTTCATTTCGGATGCATTCATTCTTGGAAGAATTTCATTTAATTATAATGGTTATGTTGTCACAATTCGTTTTTGGAATTTATTTTGTTTCATTTATTGGTTGGTTGGTCTGGGTGAGTCAAAAAATGTTGCAGTTTTTCCAGAAGAATGCTAAATATTCTATACATTATCACATAGGACAGATTCAATAATTCCAATCCACCAAGAAAAATGGCATCAGCTGATTGGATATACGACTGGTGCCATAAACATCCTAATAAAACAAATGGAACAAAATTCAGATCCATTCATTATCCAAATCTGAATTCAAAAATTTAATTAATTCCCCTATGAGTCTGAACTACTGTTGCATCATGTGACAGCATCCAAATGAAACAGTTCATTTCATTATAGCTTTTTTTTCAGATTCGTGGGCATTCATTTATTAATGTCCATTCTGAGATTAGTATACATCCACATCTCTGAAAATGATATGGCAAGATTTTTTTGTTAATTGGCTCTGTTTGGTACGGTTCCATGAGGAAAATGTACCTTTTTGTTTCTAAATATTACAAGAAGCAAGGTTAGTCCTTTCTAATACAGATATTGTTAAGTTGGTTAAAGCGGAGCTTAACTGTATCTGACTACCATAAACTCGAAATGCTATTTAATTCCTTTTTACTATTCAAAGAAAATTATCCATCCATGTGTCCATGTTTATTTTGTTCAGAAATTACCACCTAGCGTTCCTAGTTACAGACATCCTGATTCGTGTAGCATTTACTTCCTGGAATCCACCTGCCCTTAGCTCAGGCATGCAGGCAGGAGGGTGTGCTTAACTGAGGAAGCTCTCCCTCTCCTTCTCCAAATGAATGAAAAAAAAATGCCCATGAAGACTTCTGGGATGTATGGCATCATTTTGGCTTAGGCCAGAAATCCAGAAGCAACTAAAGAAATGTAAAACAAAACAAAAGTTTAAAACAAGTAAATATAATATACCTTACTATCTTTTTACCAAGGTTAGTAGCATAAGGATTAAAATAGTTGATGTTGATTGCGAGAGTTTAGTTCCACATTAAGCTGTAGGATAAATTACACACCAGGTACTTATAGCCCCTTTCACAACGGGTGAACCAATAGTGTCTACCTGTCCGTTCTTCAGGCAGACCCGATTGGACCATCCATTGCCCTCTTAGAAGTGGCAAACGTAAATGGACATTTGTCCGTTTACACCCACCTGCATCCGATTCGCTAAAAACAAAGCGATTGGGATCCGTTCCCTATCCCTCTAGCGTATGACGGACCAGTTATCCGCCTGCTCATTGGGGATCAGCAGACAGATCCCCCGCTGAGCAGGCATGTCCGCTGGGGGAGCCCGCCCAAGTGAAAGGGGCCTAATCTTTTTGTTATCTTAAGCTTTTAAACTAATCTTTTCTGTTATATTCCAAAGCTATAAATGTCACTAATGACAACTGTATTGATTTATAGCTTGAAATAATATGTGAAATCTAGCATCATAATCAGTGAGATGTTTCTACTTCTAAACTCTTCACTTCTCAGTGTTACTGGCATCCATATCTTGGGAGTCATGGAAGGTCTATAGGTAAAGTAGAAAACCTTTTTAAGCTAGCATTGGATGACTAGAATAGGCATCCAGTTATTAACTAGAAACATTTCTCAGCTATATTTGCCAGCTTTAATGCTTGGAGCATACTGCATCCCATAGGTGGTCAAGATTAAAAAGAATGATTTGTCATTTCAATGCAAACTCAGATCTATCAGCAAGAAATAGGTGTTTCTTTCCCCCTGCCCATAGCTTTCCATTTTTTCTGCTTTTGCCAAGACCCCAGTTCTACCTCTCACATACAGTCTTTATTACCTTTTCTCAGCAAAGGCCTTTGTACTAGAAAATTGCATCAAACAATGTGTCTTTAACCAATAATTTCAAAAAGCTTCCCATGCTGTTTTAATGATGGTGCTGGCGTCCATAATTAAAAACTGGCACATAAAATATTATGAAACTCAAAAATTATAGGTGTGAGGGAATGCACAGGTCTCATAATAGAGCAGCAAAGAATAGCTAATAAACAATCATTGATCTCATTTGTGAATGGGAAAAAACCTTTATAGCATAGGTTAATTCAGCATAATGCAGACGCAGCTTAAATGGAGGTTAGAGCTTAGAATTTCGGCTGCAGGGTCCTGTGTCTTTTATAGACCCTCTGGAGCCATGTTGCCATGTTTACTGTTTGAATAGACTATTGTGTACTAATTATATCTCTTGTTTGGATGGCCGCCAACTGCAACAAAGATCTTTTTTTTTTTTTGCTTTTTAAGAAACTAGAAGTATAAGATGAATATTCACATGTAAAGCACATGTGGTCTTGTACCTAGGCCACCAGAGTATAAGGAGGCCATGAACAAAGATACCTAAATGTCCTTGTATATTATCAGTAATATATAAATAATATAAACTTTATAAATAATGTAAACTATAGTATGAGCATGCTGCATTACACCTATATACATGTAGCACCCTAGAATAGTGTAGTGAATGATAGGTAAAATCATTGTGTGAGTCATGGTAGTTATGTGGGTTATGTAACTAAGGTTGGGTTATGCAGGTCAGCTGGATGACTCTACAGGTTGTGGATCTATCGCTTCATCCTGGCCCTGGAGGACCATAGAACCTTCCAGAGGTTGTGTAGAAGGAGGGGTGTAGGCCTAATCTGCATATTCAAGTGGCGTCAGGTCAATCCCAGGTTTGGAGGCCCTGGTAGAGTGGTGGACTGGCCTATCAATATTGAAGAGTCAGGCAGACAGACTGAGGAGACTGTTGGGGTCCAGGTGGGGTCCCTTAGACCTGGGGGGGGGGCTCTAGGCTGGGCTGGGTTGGCTCAGAAGGGTACATTCAGCAGAGAGGCACAGATGGGATCAGGCCTGGAACAGCAGGAAGCAAGGTGGAAAGTGTAAGTACAGCAGCACACTTTGGGATCTGAAAGGGGAAAAATTGCCACACGTAGCAAGCTTTTCAAGGACAGCATTAAGTTAAATCCCTTTATCCTTGAGCCGGGAGATCTTTGGAGAAGCCAGGGAGCTGGGAGCAACTCCATACAGGAGAGAAGATGCCTCTGCATGTGGCTACAAAAAGCAAAGTGATTTTTGAGGGACTGGTAGTTCCTCGCCCATAAGGGGCAGCTGCTACCGATCCGCAACGACTGATGGTTTTCAGGGAAAGAACAGTCCAGGATTTGCTTTGTACATAGGAAAGAAGTGTCCCCCTTCCATTATTCAAGTCAAGTTGGGTATCCCATAATCCCTATTTCCCTATCCAAGTTGAATTCCCCTAAATAAAAAAACAAAATCAAGTTCATGGACTGGTCACTGTCTCTGAATGCAAGTCTGTGTGAAAATACCAGCTGCCTAGCTGTGCGGAGGGAAGCTTAGGGATACCCACAACACAGCGGCCCTCACGAGGGTAAAACTACATACAGTTTGTAAATAATTGGAACAAAAAAATAGCTGGGGGCCTGTATTGATGGGGTTTTGGGTTTGTGTCAATGGCATTAGTTTGACATAAGTTTCAGATACTTTTGGGGTCATTCAGAATTTATTGACATGTGCATTTTACCTGCAGCTTACCCTCTTGGTTCAAGTAGGTTTTGCATTCCTATGGACTTGTGTGGATATGCAAAACCCATCTGAAGCAAATAAAAGCCCATCAGCACTAGCTCTAATTGAGGTGTTTGTTCCATTCAAGAAATGGCAATTGTAAAAATGTATACGTGATCAAAGTTCCAAAGGAAGATTGCAGGCACCTCTAATCCCCTATGTGATTGCCTATTGCATGAATTTTTACCTGTTCGCAGGGGCGGACTGACAACTCATGGGGCAATAGGGGATCATGGGGCCCCTGTGTCCTTGACCAAACTCAAAAAAGCCTATGAAAAAGGTACCAGGGGCATCTCATGGGGCCCCCTACTGACCCCAGGCCCTCGGGCAGTGCCCGAGTTTCCAAATGGTCAGTCCGCCCCTGCCTGTTCGATACTCCTATGGACACTACTGGGTCAATCCAGCAGTAAGACGTTAAGAAGACCCGAGGGGATACTAAGAGGAGCTTATTTGACAAGTAGGCATCTCCATGTTCTAGCTTTACAGTGCCTTTATATATTATAAACTGTCATATATTAATATTCTGCAAGCATGAGGCAGTATTTCTGATTTTACGCCTGTTGCGGCTAGCAGGTTTTGCTATTTAACAAGACCCACTAACCTTAATGCTGCAGCTTTTTACAACAGATTGATGACAGCTGCTACTGCTCATGGCTGTTCACTAAGTTCATTTCAGAGTCATTACTGAATTTCAGTATTTGCAAATATGAGTATCACGACTCAGCAAGTATTTATTTAATTTTTGCAATATCCTTGAAAAAATGTCTACACAATATTTAAAGAGTCAGTCCACCTTGCAGTGATATTTTACTCAGGCTTCTTTTATGTCTTGGATAGTTCAGTAGGTATATATTTACCTCACAATTCTTTTTATGATGTCTTATGAGATTTGGCTGTTTTGTCCTAATTTTAGGGGGTTTACTTATAAAAAAAAAACTGTTGTGTAAATGTGTCCGCATTTGCACAACCTTCACGAATAATTTCTGTAACATGTCTAATATGTCTTTCCTGACATCAATAGCTCCATCTGGTGGCCATAACATGATATTTTCTTGAAATTCCTCCGTTAGGAAAATACTGCATAATGGCCACTAGATGAATCTGTCAATCATACGAAATTAACATTAGAGGCTTTATGGTGATTATTTGCAACGACTATGTGAATGCTGAGACATCCGTGCAACAGGTTTTTTTTTTTTTTTTATAAATAGGCCCTTAAGAGATCCAGAACTACCTTTTGCATTCTCAGTAGTATAAAATAAAAATTCAACAGTATAGGGAGACTTCTTTTTTAATGATCACAACAGGTGTGCAGACCCAGGAACTCAAGCACAGGAATCTCGCTAACAGGGTCCCTGAGAGATATAAAAAAAAAATTGTCAGGTGGTTTAACTCTCTAGTATCTACCAAACAATAAAATATCATTTTTTGGTGTATTGTATAAAGGTAGATATAAAGAACACACAGCCATCTCTTTATTCATCAATTCATATTTTTTATGCAAATATTAAATGAGTTAGTACCTGAATTTGACTTCTTATCCACCTATTACAGTCTTTGCACAGCACAGCCAGAGAGAGAAAGAAGGAGAGCCAACCAGGCTGCAGTGCTTATATGCTAACAAGGAACATGCTGACAGAAGGAGAGAGCATAATGATAGAAAGATGAGCTTATCAGTCTGCCACTTCTCCCTTCACTGTCCAGTCACAGGGTAGAGAGCAACAAGACCAGTAAGGGTTACTAAAGCAGAGCAGAGAACAATTACATCCCCTGCCCTGTTGAATAGAACTGCACCATGTGTATTTAGCTGTTTGTCTGGAGTTCAGCTTTAATTATGTCAGTTAACCCCTTCCCACCCAGCCCCAGCATCCTTTTAATAGGATCTCTACACCTAGGGGGGCAGGAAGGATTGGCCATTCACGTGACCACTGTGATTGGCTTTCACAGTGGTCAGCCCCGCCAACTCCTGATTATTATATGGACCAAGAGATATCTTTGATGGCTTGGTCACTGTGCTGCAAGTGCATAGTGAGCACGTTCTCAGGACAGAAAGTTCTGCCACCCATGGATGCATATATGCGTCTTCTGAGCATTAAAGCCCACCTTCCTATCCTCTCGCTGCACATATGCATTACATGGGTGGCAAGAAGTTAAAGTGGTTCTAAAGACAAGTTTTTATCCTGTAACGCATCTATGCATTAAGGTAAAAACCTTCTGCATGCAGCTCCCCTCCACCAGTTCCCCTTAAATACTTACCTGATCTCAATCTTGATCCAGCAATGTGCATGAGAGCAGAGGCTCTCTCTGCTCTCTCTCTCTTCTCATTGGCTCAAAGACAGCAGCGGGAGCCATTGGCTCCCGCTGCTGTCAATCACAGTTATTGAGGAGGGAGTGGAGGGCAGGGCTGAGCTGCGCTGTAGGTGTCCATGGACACACAGAGCCGGTGCTTGAGCGAACATGCACGCTTGCTATGGGGGAAACTCAGGGGGGGAAGGAGCACTGGCAGGGGACCAGAGAAGAAGAGAACTGGGGCTGCTCTGTGCAGAACCATTGCGTAGAGCAGGTAATTATAACATAGTTGTTATTATTTTATTTTTTTTTTAAACAACATTTTATCCTTTACAATCACTTTAATGATCTTGTATACTGTGAGTTGATGGAAAGCACTTTCAACTTCTATTTCCTATTTTATCTTTTGATGTTTGAAGCTGAGAAATGCCATGGTGAACAGAAAAACAGGAAAATTTTCTATGGAGGTCAAGAAAACCGTGGACAAAGGGGTGAGATTTTACCTTTTGAAATGTTTTTCTCTAAATAGGGAAAAAACTCTGAAAGTCATTTTCTTTGTTTGTTTTTTTATTTGAAGAAACGGGTGTTGGTGATGACCAATGACTACTACTACACTGACATCAAGGGGACTCCATTTAGGTATACCACTTCTGCAAATACTTATGTTTTTATGACTCCATTTTAAAAAACACACCAAACTTTTGCATGGGGGAGACATTTGTAAATCACAATGACTGATTAATAAAAATGGCAGAAAATGAGCACAAAAGTGGAAATGCTGCATATAACAACCTTTCAGAATTTTTGTTTAATATTTCTACAATTCTACTTTGTGTTTGCTTCTTCAGTTTTTTTTAATTAGCCCCGTGGTATATAGTCAGGAAAATAGTATGTTGTTAGTAGCACTCGATCAGCTTTTAGCTACCATGTTTCTAATGCAAGCTAAAAAGTGAAAGGACATATACATGTTCTATCTGTTTTAACACAAACAGGCAATACACAAGTTTTTTGAATAAACGTTTGTTTGTATTCATTCATATGAAAATTCTCAGTACGTTTGATGACTTGGCAAATGTCGTACAAAAGAATAAAATTTTGTTTCATTTTACCAATATATTTTGGAGTGAATGCATTTTTATGAATGAAATCATTTGATCATTCTAGAAAAAATTTCCATCCTGCTCCTTCGAATTTTCTTGTCACTGTGGTCAAAAACAAATATTGACTTGACTCCACTAATGATTGGAAAATCAAACATTATTTAAATTAAAAATGTTGAATAAAATTCTATTGTTGTATGGCCAGTTTTATTATTTTAGCAAAATGTTTGAATCAGGCAGTGTTTGCAATGACTGAGCCATGTACTGCTTCCCAAGGGGATGATACTAGCACACAAAAGGTTTCTCCAATTTGTTGAAATATGTATATATATTGTAAAACATTTTGTTTTTTAAGGAGAAAAGTGAATTTTTTTTAAGGAGAAAAGGGAGTTTTTCACCAACTAGGTGCTACCAGTAGAGAGTTTAGCAAGCCCCTTTGTTACAGTAGAGTGTTTGAGGATTTACAGATGTCTTATCTCCCACCAATTTTGGTAATAGGTAGCCCTCGAATATATACAACACTTGCCCATTTTTGGGTAGGGACCACAGGTTGCCTTGGCCTGTAAGTTTAGTAGTGCATTGATGTTTATGCATTTGCATCAGTGATAACTCAGTATACATACAATATGTGTAATATATTTACAGAATGTAGTGATTTTTTTTACTTTTTTCTTGTACTTAATTAGAAATTAGGCTGATCAGTGAAACAAATATAACATGTAACTTAGTAGGAACAAGGCAAACAAGTATCTTATTTTGCAAAACTTATTTTTCAGCTTAGGAGTCGTTCTGTCAAGAGGGCATGGAAAATATTTCTTCAGGGGAAATGTGTCTGTAGAGGATGGTGAGAAGATTTTTATTCATGTTTTAAATAGCTTTTGTAAAGCTGCACGTACCCCACTTTTGTCTTATAATATATAATGCTTAAAGGCCAACTTCACATTTAGTGATCTTTCCTCTACCATCCTGATTGGTAGCCACTTACCTGAATACTTAAGCTGGCCATACCTGTATCGAAATTCGACAGGTTCAGCAGGGACTGGCTGAATTTTGATCCATGGGTGCCACTGTGTTTGAAGAGAAGTAGATTAACCAATAAACTTCTGTTCAACCACCCTGTTGGATAAAAGCTGCTTGATCAGCGTGTGAGCAGGGTGCAGCATGGTGTGTTGGCAAGCAGTAATCACACAGAGGCCGAGGTGAATGAGAGCAGTGTATTACAGAAAGCTCCAACGAGGCACAACAAGGCCGACGGGTAGGGACAGTCATACAGAACCACTCACAGAAACTGGAGCCAAGGTGTTTTAACTTCGGATGGTACCTACAGAAATGTGGGGCTGGAATGTGGCCTAGCCAGTCCACACCCACATGGGAGGCTTCCTAGGCAGAAGAAAGGCTTAGTCCCTGCACTGTCCCTACTCCTCCAGAACCTCTCCCTAACTCTGATCAATCTCCCTGACAGCTGGGGAACCTGTCTCTACACTAGCTACTCACAAAATGTGCACCAAACCCAGGAGCCAGTGTCCTAATAGACACTGCCCTCACCCAGGATGGCCACAGAGTCAGTCAGGGGACTAGCATCCAATCAGTCAGCCGCTCCCTTCGGGATAGCAGGAAGTTGTAGAGGCATTAAGTTCCTCACCCCTTCCTTCCCCTTCTGCATTGCCACTAAAGCCTAGCACCTACTATAGAAGGGAGTACTGACCTCACCTGTCTACAAGCACTGCAGTACTGATCTGTGTATTCTGGCAGTAGGGAAGTCATCTCACTACCATAATACAACAGCACAATGGGGAGGATTCCTTCATCAACATTAACTGCATGGATCGGGGGGGAATCAACTCAGTTTTTTTCATTCAACCCATTGGTTTAACAAAAACAAAAGCTACCCATGTATGGCCAGCTTTACTGTCAGCACCACTCTGGATATCTTCAGTGTACAGCCCTGTCTGACACCGAATGGCCTAGGCAGAAAGAAGTCTCAGCTACATCCAGCTCCCAGTGTGCATGGGTGCCTCTCATCACTTTCAGTTCTATGGCTGGCGCTGTACTTTTCTGCATGGTTGGGTCAGCTATGGGTACAGACCAGCCATAGGCATGCATGAAGTGAATGGTGCACATGCACAGTAGGAACTAGATGCAGCCAGGATCTTTTTCTGCAAAAGCTGTTTGGCATTAGGCATGGCCCTACAGTAATGTCTTTAGGTGAGTGGTTGCTAGTTTGGGAAGGTTTAAAGATATAAAGAGCAGCCTCACATAAAGTGAAGTTTGCACATATGTTTAGAGGGAGATATGTGCAGCAGAATGCACAGTAGAAAATATTAGCTGTAGCATGAAAAATTCTCCTAGCATGGCCATTGTTTTATGTGACACCACTTTGCTGAGGTGCTGGATTACAAATCAATGCTGTGAGTTCTAATGGCAGCATGTTACAATTTATTGATAATTAAAGAAATGTATTATGTTAAGAAAGTTGATGAAAAGAGGAGCGGGTTGAAGGTGGAATTTGGATGGTGCATTTAAAGGTGCATGTATGCTATTAAAAACTTAATGCCAGAAGTTGTTTTGCAGGGGTGTTAAGTATACTACCTGGGATATAGATACTTACTAGGAGACCCTACTACAATATTTTTTGTATAATAATATTAAAATATTAGAAGAATTTCTATGACATGACAGTTGTCAAACTTATATTAAAAGTATATCTAAAGCAAAGATCTGTTTTTCATTTTGGATAAAGTAGTTGATGGTTACAATGCATCTAAACCCTGAAATAAAACCATAATATAATGCAACATACCAATTCTTAGATGTGGTAGCTGCTATCGTTTCCCTTTTAAAACTTTTCCTATAGTTTTACCTAGTAATCCTGCAAATACAAACTTCCTGTTCCTGGGCACTTCTCCTCCACTGTACCTATGATGGCAGCCATGGTTACTGCCTAGGCTGGACTGCAATCATGTCTGCCATTGTTCCTATCCATACACAGAAATTGATGGGCTTAGCAGTAGATGTTTATGCTTTCCAGCTCACATAAAGTGAGAAGGGCACTGCCAAGATCAACAGGTATTTTCAGTATTTTTGTGTATCACATCTAGGGACTGATAAGCAGCAATATATTAGATTGGTTTCTTTGTTTTAGTAATCCTTTCAAACCCCTGCCAGTTTTTTTTGCTGTATGTCTTCCATTGGGGAGATTTTCCTTTACTTTCTGTCTGTTTTGGAGCTCAACAGGAAATGAGAGGAGTCTTTATGGAGCAAAGGAAAGCCCCTTTCAGACAGCTGTCACCCAAACGTATGTCCTAATTATAACATTAAAAATGTTCATCAGGTCAGTTGAAAGTGTGAAGGTCCCCAGTGGGGACATAGAAAGCAATACTGACCCTTTTCTACTCTATCAAAACATCAAAAAAACACAATTTTGGCCTTAGATAAAGTTTTAGTTCTTAAAATTAACCCATTAAGTCAGAAATAGGGAAGATCTATTGTAGAATGTTTTTGAAAGGTGAAGGTTCTGGGTTGTCATCCTGATCCTGGTATAACACTTAGTGAATCAATGACCTAAAATAAGTGTGTATTCATTAAAGGATGAATAATATGAACTTCCATCCTACATGTATGCTTCAGATCAGCTGCTCAGTTGGCGTTACTCCTTGTCAGCAGTGAACCAGGCCCTGGATAACAACCCTGGGGTTTACAATGGCAACTTCCATATTTATATTCTCACAAGTTCATTATAAGGGTACAGATGTACTACCTAATATGTTCCACAATCGGGCTGATCCTTTAAGAGCAGAATGCCTTTTTTTATGTACAAAGCTACTGTTAGATTGCTCAGTCTACCAACTCCATGCTTGTAGACAAACTTTCCAATGGTGATCAAACAAAGCAAAATCAAACTAAATAACGAAAACAACCTGTTTGTGTTCAATAGAAATGGTGCTTTTATTCTACTGCTGTAAAAAATGTTCCACAAATATTAGTCTGACATTAATTATTTTTTCTTAATTAAGCTTTCATTGAAGATCAAGCAAATACAGTATATTTTCACAGACATGTAACCAGGTAGTCTATAAGAGAAAAGGCAATACATGGTTTACATAGCACAGTGAGCAAAATATTATACATGCAAGTTTTTAGTACTGCCAAAAATCAATAGCAATACAAAAAGTGCAGGAAATATATACCAGGATCAAACAGAGTGAGATAGTGGGGGAGAATTACTAAAGCTGGTTCATTCAGAACCTAGTGCACCTGTGCATGGTAGCCAGCCAGCTTCTAACCTCAGCTTGTTCAATTAAGCTTTAGCAATTATTATTAT